TTAGATCATCCTTTTACAGTGATGTTCACTATGCTAGTCATCCAATCAGTGCTAACCTCTTGGTAAAAACCAGAAGAAAAAACAAGACATTTAACACTTCAACCACTGCTGAGTTCTCTGTTATTGCCTTTCCCTCTTCATCAAGTAACGGACCAACTCAGTTTGACAGACATGGAAGACCACGGACAAACAGCTTTCAAGTCTCAGAAGGGTAGCCATGTTCATTGTTTTTGCAAATACAAACTGAGTTCCATGGCACCTTAAAGACTAACAGATTTATTTGGGCATAAGTGTATGCCCAAAAATTCTGTTAGTCTTTGAGGTGCCACAGGACTCCTTGTTGTTTTAACAGCTTTCAGTTACTTTAAAATAATGTTTCTTTTTAGCCACAATCTCTCTTTGCTTTTGTAAACTACCAATAACAGCTGAGCTTTTGTTTATTTTGAGTCCTTTACATAACCGAGTTTGTTGTTATTTGGTATCTCTCCTACACAAAAGCTGCTCAGGAACTCTAGCATCCTTTGGGAAATCTTTTATCTTTTGTGAGAGCTGTGGTAACAGCTTTTGCTTATTCTGATTCAATGACACAGCATTTGTAAATAAAACCCACCAATTTAACATATTGCACCCCCCCCCCCATTCAAGAAAAAGAACTATGCATGTCATGGATCTGCTGGCAAAGTTAGAGCAGGGTGTGAACTCTTGAACGCTCACTTGGAGAGTATTTTGACACAGTTGTTAATAACCTGCACCTGGCCCAGGTGGAGAGGCTGTTTAGGTGCAGACCTTCCAGCATGCACTGAACCCTGGACTCTACAACCTTGGGGGAGAAGGGGTGGTTCCAGACAGCTCATTAAATGTAGCCCCACTGGTACATGCCAGTGGATGTCTAAATGCAGTGTACACACATATCTAGAGAGGCTGACCTGCATCCTCCAATCAGCCTCTACTCACCTGAACAAAACAGCAAGAGAATGGTTCACAAGCCAATAAATAAGGAATGTATCTTATATGAGAGAGAAAATTACTTTGGCAGCATTTCACCACTCACCTACATAGACTGGTATCATTAGCTAATTGTAACACATAGACTAATTAAATCAATGGCACTCTTATCCCTGATGGAGGCTCCCAACACAACCAAGAAAAATGTTTTGTTACATTTTCTGCTTCACCCTATGGCATATTAATTCTGGGGAAAAGGATAGTGTTTCTTTTGGTGTGAGTATTGCAAAATTATGTGTCTGAAGAATAATATGAGTATTGATCAAGAACTTTGCATTTAAAACCTCTCAGACTCACTTCTGACTCTTTTTTTTGAGGAGTGCTTCTTTCCATCTTTACTTGGAATACATTTCTGTCCCATTTCTTTCATTAGACATATGCCCTTATTTTCTTTGTTAAAGGAATTTTTCCTTTTAAAATCTTGTTTGAGGCGAAGGACTTTTAAACCCCATCACATGCTAAAAAGAAATGTTCGAGGAGGCTTACAAAAGATTTTTAAAACAATACAAATATTTATAAAAACGTAAAATACGAGACCCAAGACAGACATAAAACCTGCTAAAAGCTTCTTGGAAAGAGGAACACACACATACAGACTCAAACACCAATAAAGGATAGGTCGTCTACTAGTGTGATCAGGGTGGTTTTAGTTCCAAAACCTGGCCTAAAGCCAGACTGAAATGGATCTAAATAATCAGTTTCTTCCAAGAAAGCTTGGAGTTGCAATGCCACCGCCTGCTCGAGTACCTTGCCCAAGAAGGGGATATTAACAAATGGGAGATAATTATTCAAATCATGCGGGTCCAGGGAAGGCTTCTTAAATAGCGGTTTTATCACTGTATCTTTCAAGGCGGCGGGAACCATACCAGATCTAAAAGACGTATTAATAATCCCCTGGACCCAACCAGTCATCCCTTCCCCGCTAGATTTAATAAGCAATGAAGGGCAGGTGTTGAGCGAGCACATGGTCAGTCGCACTCCTCCAAGCACCTTGTCTACATCCTCAGTCTGCAATAGCTGAAACTGTTCCAAAGAAAAATGACTTGAGTGGTGCGCTCAACACATTCTGTGCCCCACTTACATAGCAGCCAGAGTCCAAATCAGACCAAATGCGAGGGATCTTACCTGCAAAGTGCTTGGCAAACACATCACAGTGGGGAGCCAAGAACTCCTCCATTTCATCACAGTCTGGCACTCATTACAAGCCTCGCACCACTCGAAACAGTTCCACTGGATGGCATTCTGCGATATGGGTGGGAAAATAGCTTTTCTTCACTGTCAGCACTGCCACAGAGAAAGCTTGCAATTCAGCTCTAACCCGCAATCGATCGGATTCAGCTCTAGTTCTCCTCCAGTGGCATTCTAGCCATCGCACAGACGGTTTTGCCGCCATCAACTCCCAGAAAACAAGAGAGCAAACTTGGCTCGACTAGCTCAAAGAGGGCGCTTAGGAGTAATCATGTAAACTGCCTGGGCTACCACGATGTTCTGTTTATCAGCTAGGGCACTGACAGAACAATTTGCCATAATGGCTGAACAATCCCTCAGGGACCTCAGGAAGCCCTCCTGATCCATAAGCCTCCGAGGACAGATCATTTTAACTGGTCCCCCGCCTCTGTGGAGGGGAAGGTTAGTAGATAGTCTAAACTTGATCAGGTAGTGATCAGTCTATGACAAAGGGGGTGTAACCACATCCCTTATCCCAAGAACTCCATCACCCTTAGTCCAAAAGACCAGATCGAGCATATGACCTGCAACATGTGTGGCGGCAGTTATTTCTTGGGATAGTCCGAGGGTCATCATGGTATCCATAAAATTTTGGGCGGGACTAGACAGGACAGCCTCGCTGTGAACATTAAAGTCCCGCAAGACCAAAAGCCTCGGGGTCCTCAATGCCAGCTGAGACCACCTCAGCCAACTCAAGCAGAGCATCTGCCATACAGCAGGGTGAACGGTACACAAGCAGCACGCCCAACCTATCCCGGCTACCCAACATCAGGTACAAACACTCAAATCCAACACTTCATTGGACCAAGGTCCTAGCCAGTGAGATGCTATCTGAATTGACAATCACCACCCCACCTCCCCGTCCATCAAGCCGCAGCTGGTGCTGTACCGAGAACCCAGCCAGGCACAATTGGGAAAGGTCAATGCCTCCCTCCACTCCCAGCCAGGTCTCAGTGATACAAGCCAGGTCGGCCCCTTCATCCAGGATTAAGTAATGGATGACACCTGTCTTGTGGGATACCGACATGGCATTCAGCAACAGCATTCTCAGGGCTGATGGCCAGGTGTTAAGATTCCCAGAGTTATTTAGGCTGGGAACAGGACCAGAACAAGAAATAGCACATAACTGTCTAAACCTCGTTCCCCTTGGCTGGCCAGTCCAGAGCTTACTGCGCTATCTTCCCCTACCTGTCACAACTGCCACAATGCTATCTGAACCCTCCCTCTTAGCCACCCTATCTGTGCCAAAGCACATAATGAAAAAAAAAAAAAAGAATAAATACAACCCTTCCTTGACCTTCAGTGTAGGCAGATAAGGGGAACATCCTCCCAGCTCTCACTAGGGACTGAATAGGCCACCACACAACCAACAAGTGTGCTGCTCACACACACTCAAAAATTATACTGCATCACACAAAGCCATCACCACCTCAACACGTACTCTTGCCCTCGGTCTGCCCTAAAGGGCTCCCCGAAAGGGCAGCCCCCTTTGGCTCGCCCCTTTGAGGCGGCCTGCCGGCAGCAGCCCATTGCCAGTGGCAGCCTCCTGGCTTTAAGCCCGCCCCTGGTAATGGCTGCAGGCAACACCTGTCCGAACTTCCCATTTTAGCCCTTGTTCCCAGCCCTCACTCCTCCCTCCTCCTTCTGAGGATGATGACTGACCAAGGTGAAGAAACTAATATGGCCTAATTGTTACTTACAATAATAAAATGTCATTAAAACTAACAGAAATGAACTATTTTAAGAAGAGCCTGGCCCCTAATGCTGAAGACTCACACTCCAATAATTTATAGAACCTATTTAGCACCTTCCCCAGTCTTCCACTGGTCCAGATTTGAAGATCCATTGAAAATTAGAAAGGTTATGAGAGGAGCATTATTTTGACAAGCTGCCTCCTCACTAGTGGATCCCAGTTATTCAATAAAGAGTTTGATCGGGATGCAAGAACATGCAGCAGGTGGAAGCCCTGACTGGGAGCATAGCAGGCAGGGTATATAGCTGTATTCCTTACCCCAGTTCCACGTACATTCATGGTTCCCCTTGTCCCGAGTAAATGAGCGGAGAGCATCTTCTTAATTGTTATTTAAAGTTCAGCAACTTTTAAACTTTCCCATTTCTAATAGTAACTCTGTTAGAGAATGTGGAGGATGTAGCTCTGAAAAATCTGATATACAGGCAGTCCCCGGGTTACGTACAAGATAAGAACAAACCTACAGTCCCTAAGTTGAATCTGTATGTAAGTCGGAACTGGCGTCCAGATTCAGCCGCTGCTGAAACTGATCAGTTTCAACAGCGGCTGAAT